CACGGTTAACTGATAAGCCTGGGTTCATTGGTTAATGTGCATGGTTTTACACAGTTCCGCGCCCTGCTGCTGTTTTGTATCTAGTGATCTAGTGGCTAGCATGTGCTTCCTGCCCTGCTACTGCTTCTGTATCTAGTGATCTAGTGGCTAGCATGTGGGCCTGGGAGCCAGAGTTTTCCATCAAGTTCTTGGCGCCGTCGCTGAGTCACTTGGCCTGTGCCTCAGTTTCCCCTGCTGTGAAGTGAGGCTAGCAAGACCCAGCTCACAGGCTGAGTCCCTGGTGCTCTTCAGCGCGATACATTCCAAGCTTCCTCTGAGGCTCAGCTGAGCCTTGAAAGAATTAAGGACTTGCCTTGCCAGCCGTCCTTCACCAAAGCCAGCTGTGCACTTTGCCCCCTGCAGGAGGCACAGCCGCGCCAGTGTCAGTAAACACCCCACCCACATGCCAAATATCCCTGCACCCGCTGCTTGCTAAAATAACACCTCCAGCCTGAAACAAATGCAAATAGGGCTGTGACAGGCAGGATTGATTGTTCCTTGCTGGGCGAGGCTGCGTCAGCCAGACCGTTTACATTCTGGCTTGCTGCCAAGCAGCTGGAGGGCGAGGGCCTGTCGCTGATTATTTATTTCTCCTCGAAGAATGATTCCAAAGCTAAATTAAATTACTGCGCCTTCCCTGGAAAGCCTGCATCAGCGCTCAGCTCCGCATGCACCCCGCTGCGGCTGCCGGCGCAGCTTCTCTGGGGAGCAGATACGCTGTGGGGAGTTGGGATTCGGATGCTGATCGCGCTCAGGACTGCCTGATGGGTCCAGCTTTCCATAAGCAGCATCGGGAGGAGCTTAGGCACTGGAGTCGTGCTGCTGAATCCCGGACGTGCAGGGACAGAGGTACATGTGCTTGTAGCATCAGGCCCTGAGGCTATAAGCCTTTGGCCCGTGTCTGAGCCACTCAGGGCCACCCGAGCACACACACGAATGTGTCCCCAAAGCGGAGCTTCTCCTGGGAGTGGCTGATCAGGCTTATTTGATGGCTCCCATTCCGGATTGGAGGCTCCAGGTTTCCGAGGGCATGTCTACACTGCATCGGCGCCGCTGCACTGCCGACACAGGAAAGCATCTCGGCCAGCTTAGCCCCAGTGTGGCCAGCGCTTAGATCAATGTCTGTCGCTCAGGGATGTGTCTTTCCCTCTCCCCTGAGCAAATGACGTGACAGCGGCTTAAGCAATAGCGTAAAGCAGCTCCGAATTAGGGACGTTACATTTTGTTTAATCAGCAAATCAACTAGTCAATGGAGCTAACCCCGCTGCGGCTCTGCCTTTTAAATGTATTTAGAGCCTGCTGGCTCTGAATGCATTTAAAAGGCTGACGCACAGCAGGGGGAAACCCTGTGCGAGCTGGAACAGCTGATTCCCGACTTCCACCGGGTCCCCCCACTGCACACCAGCCTTAAATGCAAAAAGGCTGGGGTACAGTAGGGTGACCCAGCGTGAACTGGGAATCAGCTGTCTGGCTCGTGCCGGGTCTCCTCCTCCCTCCCCCCCCACTGCACTTCCATCGGTAGCGACCGCTCTGAGAAGAGGGTGCCGACGGCTTTCTTGCAGGTGGGAGCAGATAGCTCAGGGTTGCCGTGCGTGTCAACGGCAGCATGATCCAGCTCAGATGAGACGGAAACCCACGGCAGTTGTGGTGATCAAAGCGCTCGCTGGGCTTTTCCCAACAGCTGAGCAGTTACCCCCTTTGCCCTGGGCAACCTCCATGCTAGGGAATTGCGTTCTGCCTCCTGGCATTGACCCCCTTACAGGATTCTCCATGTCCTACCGCGATTCTGGTGCATCGGCGCGGCGTGCTGCCTCTTTCCATCCCAGCCCTGGCTACATTTCAGAGCGGGCCAAAATGATTGCTTTGGAAGCGGCTTCTACAGGCCGTAAAGTTCTTCTCCTGGGAATTCAGTGCAATAAACAGCCTAGTACAGAGGATCCTCCAGATCCCCACCCCCCCAATCTCACTAGAGAGAAGCACATGCATCTTTCCCTCTCTGGTTGAAAAGTGGGTTTCTTTTTTAATATGAAGAGTAACGTTCCAGTGTTGTCCCTGGCATTGCTCGCAACTACAGCCTCTTCCTCCTCCATTGCAGGCTGGCTCTTGTAGCCTCTCATTGTATGTAAAGTGATTTCCGTAATGTTGCATGACCCCACTGTGGGTTTGGCTCTGGTGTGTCCAGTTCCACACTGATCAGAATGGAAGTCACCTCTGCTGCTTGCCTCAGATGCACACCCTTGTCCCTGGGAGCACACACAGACCAAAGGTCGTGACCACACGAGCAGTCACATACCTAAGGTTTAGTCGGCTTTACAGGTTTGATGACTGTTACGATTGCCCAAGCATATGGAAATGCGGTACAGACCTTTGCACAAGTTACAAACATACTCATGTCCTTGGCACTACTAAGGTCTGGTGGTCTCTCATGGCTTGAGCATTTGTAGAGGGATGGTTCCCTTTGGAGCAGTGTTTCTTAAACTGTGTTCCGCAGCACACCAGTGAGCCACGAAGCAGTCGGAGGTGTGCCGTGGAGAAAAACAGTTCAAAATGGCCTCCCTTAAAGGGGCAGCCGACCTTTTTTTTTCCTCCGTAACTTTCCCCCGATCTTTTTGGTCAATAAGGGTATGTCTACACTACCCCGCTAGTTCGAACTCTTTTCCTCGGTCCCCTTCCCTTCTCTTCTCTCTCCCCCCTCCCCCCCCAGCAACACACACTTTTTTTGGGGGGGGGCCTCAACAAAAAATCCTTGGTGTACCTCATTAAAAAAAATTGTTTGGTGTTCCTTGGTCTTAAAAAGTTTAAGGAACACTGCTTTGGAGTGTCCCATGGGAAGCTAAGTGTCCCCATTCTGGGCATCACCTTAAATGATTCTGTTCATACCTTCATTCTGCGTGCGATCATAAAAGGGTCAACCCTCTTTTCTCTCATTGGTCTGAGTCCCCTGGAAACTTAAGGGGCCCCCCATTTTCTATAGGCTGGGTAAATTCCCTTTGTTCTCATTAGCACTGCTCCACAACCTGTATCCTGTGGTGAAAAATGAGTATTTTTATGATTTAATAATAATCTGGGAATTTTGCACAGTAATGCCATTTGGTACCTCTTTTCCCATGGGATTGGGGCATTTGTGTCGTCATTTCGTGTCTCTAACACTAAAATAGTTAAACTAAAAGCGGGCAGGCCTCAGCCTTACAGACCTTGTGTTCCAGTTTTTCTTCCTTACATCTTATACAGGAGTTTTCTACATACAGAGCAGTCTGATGCTTTAATAATCCTACAGCTTTATTCTAATTAACATACAAGGAATATATGTACTGTTGATTAATCATAATGTCACACAGTAATGGATAATAAACTCAAGTCATTCACTGCATGCTGCAGGACAGATCCTCTCATTGCTTTTAACCCTCTTTCCTCCTTTTTGCAGTACATGTTGAGTCACAGCGGCTACGTCTACACTGGCATGATTTTCCAGAAATGCTTTTAACGGAAAAGTTTTCCGTTAAAAGCATTTTCGGAAAAGCGTGCCTAGATTGGCAGGACGCTTTTCCGCAAAAGCATTTTTTGCGGAAAAGCATCCGTGGCCAATCTAGACGCGCTTTTCTGCAAAAAAGCTCCGATCACCATTTTCACGATTGGGGCTTTTGCAGAAAACAAATCTCTGCTGTCTACATTGGCCCTTTTGCGCAAAAGTTTTTCAGAAAAAGACTTTTGCCCGAACAGGAGCAGCATAGTATTTCCGGAAAAGCACTGACAATCTTACATGAGATCGTCAGTGCTTTTGCGGAAATTCAAGCGGCCAGTGTAGACAGCTGGCAAGTTTTTCCACAAAAGCAGATGATTTTGCGGAAAAACTTGCCAGTCTAGACACAGCCAGCAAGTGTGACTTTCCTTACTGGACTAGGTAGGCAACCCTTGCCTGAAGGCCCTACGAGTTGTCAGCACTGATGAAGCTGTGGAGAACTGGTAAAAAATCACCCAGCTCCAAAGCTGATTGATCTGTTCCTAAGAGCATCTGGCTTTCACCCCAATGAATTCTTTTTTAAATAGGTGCTTCATTTTAATCGACAGCTTGAGAGAGTGAAAACAGAACTGAAATAAAAGCAGGGCCATTCAATTAGTCCCGGCCGACAGCTCGGGCTAGTCAGCAAATAACCAGCCCAAAAAGCTGGTGTCCAGAACTACTGGCAGGCTTCTGCAGGGTCTTAAAGCATCTTTAAATGTCACAGTCCCTCCTCTCTTTAGGGTGTTGGTTCAGATCCTGCCTGTGTTGGTGGCAGGAAGGGGATTGCTAATGTGTTATTGGAGCCTTTCATCTTTTAGGTAACCAACTGGAGTGCAGCTCATTTGGATGGTGACCAGAAGTTTTCACAACTGATGTCTGTTCAGTAGTCCCAACATTAAATAAGTGGTTTTTTTTTTGGGGGGTGGGGTCTTAACCTAGCCCATAGCAGCTTGGTGTGTATTACAAAACCACTTGTCCTGTCTGGTAGCGGGGATGGCATTCTTGTTGGCCGCTTGGGTGCTGATTTCTGCTCTGCCCCGGATTTAACGTCGCTCCTCATGGGTTCTCAGTGTTAACGCCCTGCAAAGCGGGTGTGTCAGCTGTTTTGCCAGGCCTGGGCGAGACCATCTGCAGGGAGGGGTGGAGGGCCTGGACCAGGGGCACTAGGAAAGCCTGGGGATGTTGTGCTGCTTCTGCCTCATGCTCCGTTTCACGTACAGCCCTCTGGGCTGCGTTCTGCTCTGGGTGACTAGAGATAAAAGGGCTCGTGGCCCCTGATCTCTCCGGTGCCCTGATCATAGGAGGAATGTCCCCCTCCTTGCAGGGCTGGTGAGGACCGAAACACCCCATTCCTGGGAAACCGGCATCATGCTGCCCTGCAGGCCTCTGTGCCCGAGCCGCCCGCCAGGTCCTCTTGGGAGAAAGCGCGTGAAAACGGCTGTTGCTGTTTCTTTTTCAGGGAGGGGCAGCAGGACGTTCAGGATCATGATCCGATCCATCCGGAAGGAGGTAGGGGCGGGGCATGTGGCTCGGCCGGTGACTGTGTGTGATATTTGCACCATAGCTGGGGTCCTCAGGAGGAGACGCAGAGGCTGGTGATATGGCCCCCGCCTGTACCCAGCACTGAACCCAAACAGCTGTGTTGTTTGTGGCCAGGGAGTTGTAAAACCCTGAAGAGGTGGCCTTATAACCCTGAACACGAAGGTACACAAGCTTAACTCTCTGCTCCCATCTCTCTTACCTGGAGAAGCCAGGCTGAAAATTTGGGGCTGGGGGAAAGGTTTGGCAGCCAGACTCAGATGGAAGTTTGGTACCTATCCTCATTACTTAGCATCCCACTTTGCTCTTCCCTCTGGCTCCTCACCTCACAGGGCAGGGATTTGAAATGTTAATACAGGGCTTGAGTTCTCCATTGCCCATTGTAGTAGCCCTCTGCCCTGATATTTGCTCTTCCATCCAATGATGCTAGACCTGCTGGATGTTTGGAGAACACTGCTGGCATTTACATCGTCAGTAGGTTTCAGAGTTAACGTGACACTTTGAGATGAACCCGGTGTTAGTTCACACCTCCTTTGGACCCAGTATTCTGGGCTGTCTGCAGATACGGAGACCCAGTATTCTGGGCTGTCTGCAGATTCAGGCAGAGCCTTGGTTTACACCCATTTCAAGTTCGAAAGGCTGTGTACTCATTTGTAAGTGCTTGGGATGGACTTTAAAGAAACATGCTCCAATTCTGCCCCATGCAGCAGGGCTGGGAATGATTGAGTGTTTGGGATGGACTTTAAAGAAACATGGTCCAATTCTGCCCCATGCAGCAGGGCTGGGAATGATTGAGTGGCGGTCCCAGGGCCTTGATCGTATGAACACTCGACAGGGGTTACAGCATGACTTCCTCTCCTTCACTGAGCACAATACAAAGAACTTCATTAACCTAGAATGAAGGCAGTAAATATTTATCAGCTGCTGCAGGGCAAAAACCCCTTATAGAGTTTTATCATTTCAACCATATCCAAGTCTGGGCAGCAGAAGATTCATAGTTAAGGGTTTTTAATTCCGGCTCGGCTATTCACTCACTGTGCAGCCTGGGGCGGTTTGCCTGACTGCAGTTTGTCCATCGTCATTCATAATGCAGGGATACTGGTATTTACCTAGGATACAGCGTAAATCCGGGGGGATGCCGGGGAGCCACATGCTTCAAGCAGGGACAAGCGGCTGATCACGGCTGTTCCTTGGCTTGGCTTGGCTTCCAGGCCTTTGCAGTGCCAGTGGAATAATACTCCATCCCTGATAGCTCTGGGCTTGACCGAAACTCTCCCACGGGAGTGTGGAGGTCTGAGGAGCCCAGTGGGGAGTTTTCCATCCTAGAGGAGAGCGAGGGTGGTCCAGCAGCAGCGTGGGGTGATGGGGGCCAGCTCATGAGTCACTGGGATCCCCCTTTGCCCCAAACAGTGTTGTGCTCAGGGCCAGATTCACACAAGTGGGGGCCCTAAGTGATGCCAAGTTTGAGGCTCCAGAGCATTACCACAAACACGAAATTTCGTGATTTTTTTTTTTTTTATTGAGGTCCCTCAGAATCCAAGGCCCTAACCTGCCGCTTTCTTAGTTTGTGCGTGAATCCGGCACTGATCACGCACGGCTTGGGCTGGCTGGCTTCGAGATCGCTGTCATGCCTGTTCTGAGCCAGGCGGGTGAGCGAAGTCCTGGGTAGGACTGGGCCAGCTCCTAAAATCCAAGCAGCCTCATTACAGCGCCTGGGTGCTCAGAGCGAATCCTGCTGCTTTGGTCTGCCGGTCCCTGGCCCCTTGCGCCAGAGCGGGGGCAGCTGTTTGGTAGCAGAGCGCAGCGAGGACTCAAGACATCACAAAAGCCCCTGCTATGGAGCTTTGGAGAACGGTTCCACAGCATGTCCCGTGGGTTCCCTGCAGCCGTCCCACCACTCCGAGTCAGCGGGATGAGCCACTCCCTGCGTGGCTGGGCAATTAACCAATGACAGGTACCAGAGGGGTAGCTGTGTTAGTCTGAATCTGCATAAACAACAAGAAGTCCTGTGGCACCTTATAGACTAACACAGTGGTCCCCAATCTTTTGGGGCTGCCGGGCGCCTGGGGGCGGGGCCACCCATACACTGCATGCCTGGTGCCAGCGCCACCCATGCGCTGCACTCCCTGGGCCAGCGCCTCTCCGGTGCCGAACACCCAGGGGTGGGGCTGCCCATACGCCGTGTGCCCGGGGCCGGAACAGCCCATGCACTGCATGCCCAGGGGCAGGGCCACCCATGTGCTGCACACCCGGGGCTGGCACCGTCCCTGTACTGCGTGCCCGGGGGCAGGGCTGGCCCCGATCACTCGGCGGGCACACAGAATTGGCCTGGTGGGTGCCGTGGCGCCTGCGGGCACCACGTTGGGGACCACTGAACTAACAGATGTATTGGAGCATGAGCTTTCATGGGCAAAGACCCACTTTGTCAGATGCATGTCAGGTCCTGGCCACATAGGGAACTGCTGCCAGAGGGATGTGCCAGTCGGGAGCTCCACAAAGTGGCTCTTTGCCCACGAAAGCTTATGGTCAGAGGTAAACAGGATGAGGTTTAATAAAGAGAAATGCAAAGTGCTCCACTTAGGAAGGAACAATCAGTTCCATACATACAAGATGGGAAGCGACTGTCTAGGAAGGAGCATGGCGGAAAGGGATCTAGGGGTCATAGTGGACCACAAGTTGAATATGAGCCAACAGTGTGATGCTGTTGCAAAAAAAGCAAATATGATGCTAGGTTGTATCAACAGGTGTGTTGTAAGCAAAACTCGTGAAGTCATTCTGCCGCTCTACTCTGCACTAGTTAGGCCTCAGCTAGAGTACTGTGTCCAGTTCTGGGCACCACATTTCAAGAAAGATGTGGAGAAATTGGAAAGGGGACAGAGAAGAGCGACAAGAATGATTAAAGGTCTAGAGAACATGACCTATGAAGCCAGGCTTCATGAACTGGGCTTGTTTAGTTTGGAAAAAAGAAGATTAAGGGGGGACATGATAGCGGTTTTCAAATATCTAAAAGGGTGTCACAAGGAGGAAGGAGAAAATTTGTTCCTCTTGGTTTCTGAGGACAGGACAAGGAGTAATGGGCTTAAAGTGCAGCAGGGGAGGTTTAGATTGGACATTAGGAAAAAATTCCTAACTGTCAGGGTGGTCAAATATTGGAATAAATTGCCAAGGGAGGTGGTGGAATCTCCCTCTCTGGAGATATTTAAGAACAGGTTAGATAGACATCTGTCAGGGATGGTGTAGACGGAGCTTGATCCTGCCTTGAGGGCGGGGGGCTGGACTCGATGACCTCTCGAGGTCCCTTCCAGTCCTATTATTCTATGATTCTATGAATATTGTCTAGCAGCATTATCAATACAGTAAATGTCAGCCTATAAGGTGCCACAGGACTTCTCGGTGTTTAACCAATGACCGCGCGTTTCAAGCCTTGTTAGCTTCCTGTCCTGGTGCAGCCTTCATCGGAAATGGAGGCAACAGCTTTCACAGGGAGCTTGCGAAGTAACCCAACCCCCGCATGGGGCAGATACAGGGGTGGAATCACTGGGAAAAGGAAATGTGAGGATTTGTCCACCTAGTAAATTTCATGCCGGTGAAAGGTGCCGGCTGGTGTTTGATCCACTGATGAGCCAGGCCCTATATTTAATATCAGCCTGTCAGGGGACAGACCGGACCTGCATCCTCCCTATGGCCCCGCCCACTCCCAGCATGCCTTTTGGATCACTTGAGCTGTCTATGACTTGCTCTCATGCCCCTACACCCCCTCCCCAGACCCTCGCCCCTTAATTACTGCTCAGCCAAGCTATATGCACGCAGCTCTTTGACTGCACCAGTCCGTGGAGCTGTGTCATTGTTCCCATGGGTTTTCTCTGCGCTCCCCTCTGGCCAGCTGCCCTGGGAGTTAATCATGTCCCGTTAATTAGAGCCACTTCTCTTTCAGGACCACATGCCTGTTCCACTCAATGTCACCAATGTCCAAGAGCGAGGTAAGAATATGAAACTGGGCAGATGGGACGGGATTTGTTACCAGTTCCCATCGTCCACCAGCCTTGTCATTAGTGGCTCCGGTGACTCTTTCTTTAGTGATGCTTCAGATACTTGCCAGAGGGGGGGAGCTGCTGAGCAATTCTGGGGGCTCCCTTTCCCCTGCTGCAACCTCACGAGCAGCCCTACAATAACAAAGGGTTGGGCTGCTTGTGAGGGTTGGGTTGTGTGAGCTGTCCTGTTGTAGGGCTGTTCAGTGGATGAAAGGAAGCCCAGGAAAAGAGAAGCAGGAGAGACTAAGGGTGTACAGAGAGGGGGGTGGACAGAAAGAAGCGTTGAATTGTCCTACAATAATGCAACCCTACAATAACACCAGCATGGAGGAGACCCTGCAATGACAAACTGCCCAGCGTGGGGGCAGGGAGGAGAGAGATTAGCCTCAAGGCAGAAACAGCTTTTCTTTGCAGGCAGCGCTGGGTAGATCATACACTAGGCGAGGGTGGGGGTGGTGAAATATATTAGCCATTCCGAGAGTCACCCTGGATGCCATCTCTTTAATTAAAAGCTGGGCAGCAGGAGGGAGGCCCGAGCCAGCGGGATGGAGAGAAGCGGCTGGATCTTCACTAGAGCTCCTGAGGCCATCTCTTTGAAACTCCAATCTTCTTCCTTGGGTGTCTGCCCTTTCTTAAAAATCCACTTAGGCAGCGCTTTGTAATCAACTCGCCCACCGACGCGCTCTGGAGACGGATGCTATGAATAGCAGGCGTGCTAAGCATTCGTTCCACTGTTTCAGCTGGAGCTGCATCCTCGAAAAGGGGAGGCAGATGCCTGCAGCAACCCCCAGGAGAACTGGAGGGGCAGAGGGCCATCTAAAGGAGACCGATGCCTCGGTCGGACTTACAGTTGGCTTAGAAACCAGCCTGGAGCAAACCTGTGTGGATTTCAAGTGAGCAGCTTAGCTGGGTTCAGCTGAAACCTGTTCTCGAGCCCCGACGCTGAAATACAGGCATTTGACACTGAAAGAAAGCAGACACGCAGGGAAATGGGACTGTCGGACCCTCCTTTGGGATCAGTTTGACTGTCTCGGTGTAAATTCCACTCTGTGTTCTACCAGTGTCGTGTTAGACCTGCCTGGGCTGCATGTGACCCTGGGCAGGGATAAGTACCAGGACAGCAGGCTGGAAGGTGTAGTGAGTTTGTCAGGCCCAGTAGGCATTGCTGTTACAGACCAGAAACCCCCTGGCCAGCTGGCACCAGTGGGCCTCTGTCACACGGACGGTCACAAGCTCCTGTGTGTGAGGTGGAAGTGCCTAAATAAGCAGTGATGCCCACCTAGGCCGACAGTCACAAGCTCCGGTGTGTGAGGTGGAAGTGCCTAAATAAGCAGTGATGCTGTCACAAGCACTGAGCACCCGCAGGACTCAATGGTGCTTCCACAGAGGAGGATGCTCTTTTAGCTGCTTAAGTTTGGGGTTAAGAGCCTGTACTCCTGGGCTGGTATGAAACACCCGCTGCCACAGGGCTCATAGCGTTATAGGGCTGGAAGAGACCTCGGGAGGTCATTGAGTCCAACCCCCTGCCCGTAGCAGGATCAACCCCAACTAAATCATCCCAGCCAGGGCTTTGTCAAGCCAGGACTTAAAAACCTCTAGAGATGGAGATTCCACCCCTCCCTAGAGAACCCATCCCAGTGCTTCCCCACCCTCCTATGGAAATCATTTTTCCTACTGTCCAACCTAGGCCTCCTCCCACTGCAATTTGAGACAGATGACTGTGCAAAGAGAAAAGAGCAACACAACACGGTTACTGCCCTGGTTGTTTACGCTGTGTTGCAATTAAAGCACCAAACGCAGCAATCGTCACATTGCAGGGAGCGTGGACAGGACAGTGTCGGGAAGTGATAATTGTTTTTGTTCCCCTCTGCTGGACTCTCTCCAATGTGTCCACACCCTTTCTGTAGTGGGGGGCCCAGAACTGGATGCAATACTCCAGATGTGGCCTCACCAGTGTGGAATAAAAAGGGCTAATCACTTCCCTAGCTCTGGTTCCCCCATCTCGGCCTAAATCCCATTAATCAAGCATCACCTGGTTTTGAAACTCAGCACGGCATCTGCAGAGGCGCTTTGCAAACCATAAGGCCTTTGGAGCCTCAGATGCGGGGTCATTGGCAGCCGGTCCTGCCCATGAGGTTGCGTAGTCGATGTTCTCACCCTCCTCTCTCTCTCTGCAGGAGGGCTTCTGGCTGGCTTGCCAGAAGACCCAGCTCCAAGCCAGATCCTAGCGGAAGCAGATCTCCAGTACTTCATCCAGCAGTATAAAAAGTGTGGCTTCAGGTAAGCTAAGCTGAAGAAGGAAGTAAGAGTCTGGTGCCGGAGAGAGAGATTGCCTTGGATGTTCACATGGAGGCTGTGATAAGGCCAGTGGCTGTTTATTTGTGTCAGGCCTGTTCCCCACTCTGGCACTCCAAGTGCAGAAAGTGAGGGCCTGCTAGAGGGTTTCAAAACCTCGCCTCTACAGGCACGGGCTACAAAACCTTCCCCCCAGAATCATAATCCACAGATTCTGGGAAATCACTGGCACCATGAAGTGCTTTTTATCCCTAAAAACCAGGAGTGAACACTTGAAATCTCCCCCAGGGTACCCCAAGCTCTTTTGCCCCAAAAGAGCTTGAAAAAGGAAAAGAGAAAAACAATCTGCAGTCTCTGGTAGCTGACCCCTCAGTGGGAGGCATGCACATACACAGACAGATCTTCCAGGACACAAGAATCAACTCATCACTGTAAAAAAAGTGATTTTATTACAACACAAAAGATAAACTTGAGGAAGCAGACTTGGTTGCAAGATGTTACAAATAAAAACAAATGAAAAAAAAACAACAGAGAAAAGTCTGTGGGTACGATGCAAGATAGTCAGTGTGGAGGAGAGGCATAAATTCACACAGAGCAATTCAAACCAAACCACAAAATAAAATAAATTACCCTGAACGTGACTGGATTCACTTTTTCCTTTTACTTCTCATTTTCTTTGTTCAGCCCTCTCCCATGCCCTGAATTCCTTGGAGGCATGGTAGTCCTGCCTGGGTTTAAATCTTTCAGTGTCTCTCAACCTCAAGAATAGTAATAGAAATGTAGCCGTGTTAGTCTGGTGTAGCTGAAGCAAAATGCAGGACTCTGTAGCACTTTAAAGACTAACAAGATGGTTTATTAGATGATGAGCTTTCGTGGGCCAGACCCACTTCCTCAGATCAAATAGTGGAAGAAAATAGTCACAACCATATATACCAAAGGATACAATTAAAAAAAATGAACACATATGAAAAGGACAAATCACATTTCAGAACAGAAGAGGGATGCAGGGGAGGGGAAGGAAGGTAAGTGTCTGTGAGTTAATGATATTAGAGGGGGAAAGGTAATGGTATTAGAGGTGATCATTGGGGAAGCTATCTTTGCAATGGGTAAGGTAGTTGGGGTCTTTGTTCAATCCCCCCCGGAGAGTGTCAAATTTTAGCATGATTGACAGTTCAGAGGATTCCCTTTCAAGTGCAGATGTAAAAGGTCTTTGTAGCAGAATGCAGGTGGTTAAGTCGTTGAGACAGTGTCCTTTCTGGTTGAAATGGCAAGAAATTTTCTTCTTTGTGATCCTGTCTGATATCTGTTTTGTGAGCATTAATCCTTTGGCAAAGTGTCTGAGACGTTTGTCCAGTGTACATAGCAGATGGACACTTTCGGCACATGATAACATAAATTATATTTCTGGTAGTTGAGGTAGGAGTGCCAGGCTGGTGCATAGCCCATATTTACGTGTGGATCCTGAGATGAGCAATGGTCTCAAGTTACAGCGGGGGAGGTCTAGGTTGGATATTAGGAAAACTATTTCACTAGGAGGGTGGGGAAGCACTGGGATGGGTTACCCAGAGAAGTGATGGAATCTCCATCCCTACAGGTTTTTAAGTCTCGTCTGGGATGATTTAGTTGGTCTTGCTTTTAGCAAGGAGTTGAACTTGATCATAGACTCCTCGAGCTGGAAGAGACCTCAGGAGGTATCAAGTCCAGCCCCCTGCCCAAGGCAGGACCAATCCCAACTCAATCAATCCAGCCAGGGCCATGTTAAGCTGAGACTTAAAAACCTCTAGGGATGGAGATTCCACCACCTCCCTAGGGAACCCATTCCAGTGCTTCACCACCCTCCTACTAGGGAAATAGTTTTTCCTAATATCCAGCCTAGACCTCCCCCACTGTAACTTGAGCCCGTTGCTCCTTGTTCTGCCATCCATCACTACTGAGAACAGCCTCTCTCCATCCTCTTTGGAACCTCCCTTCAGGGAGTTGAAGGCTGCTCTCAGATCCCCCCTCACTCTTCTCTACTGCAGACTAAACAAACCCAAATCCCTCAGTCTCTCCTCATAGGTCATGCACTCCAGCCCCCTCAGCATTTTGGTCCCCCTCCAGTGGACCCTCTCCAATGCGGCCACATCCTTTCTATAGTGGGGGGCTCAGAGCTGGACACAATACTCCAGATGTGGCCTCACCAGAACCGAATAAAGGGCAATAATCACTTCTCTAGATCTGCTGGCAGTGCTCCTCCTAATGCACCCTAATATGCCATTAGCCTTCTTGGCTACAAGAGCACACTGTTGACTCATATCCAGCTTCTCATCCACTGGAATCCCCACGTCTTTCTCTACAGAACTGCTGCTTAGCCAGTCGATCCCCAGCCTGTAACAGTGGTTGGGATTCTTCTGTCCCACGTGCAGGACTGTACACTTGTCCTTGTAGAAATCTGATGAGGTTCATTTGGCCCAATCCTCTAATCTGTCTAGGTCACCCTGGACCCTATCCCTGCCCTCCAACGTATCTACCTCTCCGCCTAGCTTAGTGTCATCCGCCAACTTGCTGATGGTGCCATCCATCCCTTCATCCAGCTCAGTCATAAAGATGTTGAACAAAACCAGATGACCTCCTGAGGTCTCTTCCAACCCACTGATTCCATGAGCTGCTATAGAAAGCCCATCTTAGAGGGCTTGGGCATGGGGGGTGGAGAAGTGCCTGCCCTGGCATCGCAAGGAAATACCAGTTCTGGCAAAATATTCCGCCCGCGGTTTTGGCTGCAGCTCCCTGGGGAATGCAGCAGCAGAGAACTTCCAGGATCCCTACGAATGAAGTAAGTGCCTCTCCCTTTGTCTCACCCGTAGGGCGCCACTGAACTGGTACCGGAACATGCAAGCCAACTGGCTGTGGAGCCTCTCTGCAAAAGACAGGAAGGTGAGCGCGCATCCTGGCGCCGCAGCTGTCTCTGCCCTGAGCCAGGGAAGGAGCTAGGTTAGAGTTCTCCATCCCAATTCCTGGGCCGAGGGAACTTGCCTAGCGCAGCCTGTGGTGCCTTCCTTCCCGGGAGCAGGATTAAGAGTCGCTAGGTAGCAGGTGCTAGGCTCAGCTGTCGGCCCTGTCTTATCTGGCGGGCGAGTGCCCCGGCGTCAGGAAGCCTGGTAGCCCCTTGATTCTCCGCCAGGAAGTGTTGGCAGAGGGCCGGGTGGTCTTTGTGGTACCCTCATTGAGGAAGCCTGGCTGTGGTTGTCCTGTACTTGGGATTAAGACTGACAGGGGCTCCCCCAATCAGTACAACCCCCCCAGAGTGAGCTGACAATGGTTCCTACCCAGCTCCCAGGCTATCCTTTTCGTAGAAGAAAGGGGAAGCTTCCCGGGATGGAGGAGGGGCTGTAATCCCCTGCCACCTGCACAGAACATCTGGACTCCACCGTCCGCCGCTGGCCAGGAGTGATCCAATAGCTCTGTGCTGTGAGGTAGAACGACACCATTGGCAAGCTATGGGCTCAGGGCCGGGTTTTTAAGGTATTGCGATGTTTGCTTTAGGGACCCAGGTAGCTTTCAGCATCTGCTTCCCTTCACCTTCATAGTCCTAGAACTTGCTTTCGGCACTTGCCAGCCTGCCCTGCTGCAGTGCCTGGTGGTGTCCTGCTCCTTCGTGCCTTCCTGTGATCCACCTCGCTGGATTGGCTGTGCTTGGGGATCAGCACTTAGGCAACCCTCTTTTCCTGGCCCTGTTCCTAGGCCTGCAGACGTGGGCTCCTGAGGTGGTGAAGCCACTAGGTAGCCACCATTCTAGTCTACACAGCCCCTGCCGACCCGCTCCCCTGGATCCTCCATGAATCGGCTCCGGGCAGGGTGACCGCTGTGATCGCTGGGGAAGGAGCGTGTTTACAGAGTGGAAGATTTGATCCAGGGGTAGCTCATTTCGTGCCCGCGTCTCTCTCCCCCTGCAGATCCTGGTGCCAGCTCTGATGGTCACTGCTGGGAAGGACCTTGTTCTCCACCCGAATATGAGCAAGGGCATGGAGGAGTGGGTAAGTGATCGCATTGTCCAGCGGGATGAGACCCTGCCCAGAGGCATCCTGGTGATGCCTTCCTGTGTCCTTGGGCTGCCGCCCGTTCCCCGATACTCCATCCCAGCTGAGTGCAGCCCTCGTAAGGGGCTCATGGGAAGTGAGTGCCAGGAGTTCCCTGTAGCAGGAGGCCCTTGAGTCAAAGCCAGCGGCTGCCTGGATCCCACAAGCTATGTCTGCTGAGAAGTCGATACGAGCGATCAAAACTCATGCTTCCAGCCCCGTGCATGGGCCAGGCCGGCATGCTGTCCTGCGGGAAGCACCACACCTGGCTAAGTCCACGAGGGTCGGGGAGTTGCCTGTCCTCTCCGGCATCAAGAATTGGCCACTGCTGGGTTCCTGGGGCCTGGCCGGATGGGGCGGATCTGTACCCAGAGGCTCAGCAGCATCTTGGGAGTGTCTTGGGCATTTCTTTCCAGATTCCCCAGCTGACCCGGGCCCACATCGAAGAGTGCGGACACTGGACACAGATGGACAGGTACTGCATGCACAGCTGGGGTGGGTCTGCAGCTTTTAAAGACCTGTATTCAGCAACCACAAGGGGCCTGAGTATAAGCCCTGCCTGGAAGCCAGCTCTTGCTCCAGTGCCCCAATGCTCAGAGCGCATTTGACAAGCCTGAGTATGTGCCGCGAGGGCAAGGTCCAGGGCTGGCGTTTGCTGGCAGGTGGGTTTGATGGCCGGGAATGCTTGCAGCATTGCGAGTGAAGCTGGTAAGGGCGGTCAGCTGTCGTGCTCTGGTCCGTGACCTGATCTGCCTGCAGGGATCACTCCGGATTATTCCCCACTGATGATGAAGCCTCGTGCAATTAGCCAAAGGGATTAGTGATTTCTAACATGTCCTCTGCAACCACAAGCACTGGCCTGTGCTTGGATGGGCCAGAAAATACTGGCTGCCAATTACAGGCGGAACATTGACCCCAGCCCTGCCAATGGGCCCTTTAGACTCACCGCCAGAACATGGAGTGGCACACTCCAGAGCCCCACGTCACCTGCTCTGGCCAGCTGTGAGGGTCTTTTGGGGAGGTGCCACATTAAGTGGGGGATGGCTGTCCTAGCCCCGCCCCTTGCACCTTGGCCCCGCCCCTTCTGGGAGCAAGGAGCTGCTCTGCCCCTCTCCCCACTCCCATGCCCAAGGGCCCAGCATTTCCGTCAGCTCCCCTGTTTGACTCCAAAATGCCTTTTTGGCTAAATAGAATGTTAATTATTTGATTGTTCTATTTTTTCAATCAAACCAGGGTGCCAAGTCCAGTGCCCTACAGAAGTCGAAGTCTGTTGCATCAATGCTAGTTGTTTATTTGATCCCATAACATAAGAACTAGGGCTCACCAAATGAAATTAATAGGCAGCAAGTTTAAAACAAACAAAAGGAAGTTTTTCTTCCTGCAGCGCACAGTCAACCTGTGGAACTCCTTGCCAGAGGATGTGGCAAAGGCTAGGACTTCCACTGACTTCAGAGGGTGCTGAGTTCTGCCAGATTAGGCTGCTGTTTGCATAACCCAGCCTGCTTCGATGGCAGCATCACTGCCTGGGGACACAACCTGGTGCCCGACTTGTCCACAAGCCTGCATCTCCATACCAAAGCCCAACACGTGAGTTCGGAGGGGTGGCATCCGCTCAGCCAGCGCAATGGGGACTGTTGAATTTGACCCCGAATACATGTCCCTCCCACCAGCCATGGCGAGTGCTGACAAGGGAGTTCATTAAAGCCCCAGCCCTGGACAATCCCCCGGGTACAAGGGAAGGCCTCAGTGGCATCATCCCAGCTGTGATCCTCAGCACGCATGTGTAACCCGAATTACTCTGCCGGCTGCTTGGAGCTGTGTAAAGCAGTGTTTCTCAACCTATTTTTTAAATAAATTATCCCTTTAAATTTTTTTTAAAGTACCCCTTTAAAGAAAAATTATAAGTACCCCCAGTACCTACTGTTTTCAGACACACGCACAATTTTTTTCTACCGTTGCAACACATTTGCTTAAACAACTTCATAGAATCATAGAACTGGAAGAGACCTCAGAAGGTCATCAAGTCCAGCCCCCTGCTCTAGGCAGGACCAATCCCAACTAAATCAATCCGGCCAGGGCTTTGTCAAGCCGAGACTTAAACACCTCTAGGGATGGAGACTCCACTACTTCCCTAGGTAACCCATTCCAGTGCTTCACCACCCTCCTAGTGAAATAGTTTTCCTAATATCCAACCTGGACCTCTCCCACCACAACTTGAGACCATTGCTCCTAGTTCTGCCATCTGTTACTACTGAGAACAGCCTCTCTCCATCCTCTTTGGAACCCCCCTTCAGGAAGTTGAAGGCTGCTCTCAAATCCCCCCTCGCTCTTTGCTTCTGCAGGCTAAAGAGACCCAACTCCCTCAGCCTCTCCTCATAAGTCATATGCTCCAGCCGGGCAGGCGATGAAATTTTTGGGTGTAAAAAATACAAAAATAATAGTTTTCTCCAAATTTCAGTTGTGTTGACGTACCCCTTAGACTTCTCTTGAGTACCTCTCAGGGTACTCAGACCACTGGCTGAGAAACCTGGGTGTAAAGAACCGTCTGACCCAGCCCATTGGGTGCTTTTATAATTCGCTCTAGTAAAGCAGTCTCGTGAGCTTAGCCCACGTCATCGGCCGGCTGGCTGGCATTTCGCCCCGAGGAATTATCAGCGAAAGAGCCAGAGAGGAGTCAGGCTGGGAGGGGCCGTCTCACGAGAGTCGATTAGCGTAGTTAAGTGAGTGGAGCTGAGAGGCGAGTACCAGCAGCATCTCCGAGGGGAAGGCGGGAGAGGAACTGGTCCAGGGAGGCAAGTGGGCAGGAGCTGGTGTAATGGGGGTTGGGGGGCGGGTACTTCGTGCTGTACCTTCTAAGGGCAGAATACGGCCCCTTTTCCTGGCATGTCGGAGTACTTCAGTCACGAGCATTATAAGCTGCTGGCTGGCCCCAGGGAGTGCAAAGTGGGCATTAATGGACTAATCCTTATCCACCGGCTGCTTCTACACCCAAGGCCTCTAATTCTCTTACCTCTGTGGCAAGGCCTCAGTTTCCAGGGGAGGCAGCCCCTAGCCTGCGCCCAGCGCGCCCCAAACCCAGGAGGTTTTCCCCAGCAGATGTGGGTCTCTTCTGCCCCTTTCAGGCCCTGGTTTTCCCTAAGTACTTCCTCATAGTGAATCCTTCCTCATCCAGCTGCATCCTTCTCCCCTCTTGCAAGGAGCTGGGTCTGATTTATGTAGGCCCAGACACCTCCTGCCCCTCCCCCGCCGCCCCACATGTCCAGCAGTCTGAGGGGACAGGATAATTGGATAATTTTCTTTTTTCTTCTCTCTCCCCCTCCATGAGACAGTTCACTTTGTTGCAAACATATTTATCCTCACACGTCCATGGGAGGGAGGGCAGGACTAGTATCTCAATTTTACTGCCAGGGAAACTGAGGCACGGCTAAGTGACTTACCTAGGCAGTCAGTAGCAGAGGAGGGAGTGGAATTCAAGTCCCTTCTGAGACTTGTGACTGCTGCCGGCCCATCTTTCCTCCCAAGGAGATCAAGAAGCCATTTGCCCAGGGCAGTGGGGGAACATCCTCACTTGGGAAGTGTAGGAACGTGCTAACCACATTCCCAATTCTCTCCCACGCGAACAGCGAGTTCCTTCTTCCCCCAGGCTGGCTGTGACTTTGAGCAGGATGTTTCAGGTACCTGGGAAGGGCCAGCAGTGTGTGTGGGGGGGGCGGATTAAAGAAGGTTCCACCCTTTCTTTAAATTAAACCTTCATATTATTGGAAAGGAAAATACACCACTGACGTTCCTTTACCTTTGCCCATCGGCCAGTGGGGAAACCCCCTCCCCCTCCATAAGTTCCTAGCTCTGTTCCATTTTCCTCCTGTTCTCAGCCCACAGAAAGTATTCGTCCTCTGTCTCCTTCGTGCCACAAAACGTCTGCGCCTCTGAGAGCGCGTACTTCATCTTCTCCATGGAGGCTTCTGGCGAAATAACTCCCCACTGCCTGCTCATCCGTGACTCCTTGAACTAAATCACTCGGGCCGGGCCCGAGTGTCAGAGAGCCCGAGTGATAGAGCTACTGCAGAAAAAATAAAAGCAACCAGGCTGCCAGGCAGCGAAGTCAGCCAGCAGGAGCAATTGGATTTCTGCAAAGTGCATGTGTAATACGATAAGTCCAAATGGCTGAGAGATGCCTCTCTCTCTGCACCCCGGCTTGGAATCCAACTCGCTTTCTGCTCTTCTACAACGTCATCTCAAATCTCGCCAGCTACATTGCGAGGCGGAGTACTCGCCTGGCTTTAGAGGATGCGAATGAGAGTGCCAGGAGTGACTAGTGCAGTAAAGGACAGAGCCATCAGACAGGCCATCGACTAGGGAGAGATCGTTGCTGAATAACGTTACACGTGCTCATGGAAAGGAACAGAACATCCGGCTCTCATCTCTCTCTGCGGGGACGGGCCGCCGACATTGCGGGTTTGTAATGGACACGACTCCTCAGCCAGAGCTGAGGCGGTGCTAGAGGGTAGCGTTTTGCATTAAATCATGTAGTAATTGGTCTGGGAGATGATTCAAAGCTATATCGGGTGCCGCCCATTGACAGGCCCAGAGAGCTGTGATGTTGCAGAGGAAGCCTATTAAGTAGCGATCACCTTCAAAAGAAACAGCAGAGGGTTTGTAATTTGCCTACCAGACTATTGGAATGGCTTAAGAGCCTTTCCCTCTCCTTACAAGTGGTTTAAATTACTCTGCTGTCGGATCTAAATGCTCCCTGCATTTTGGGAGGCTTTGGGTCCCATCTGAGTGTCCCAACTGATTTCCCTGGGCCTTATTTGTCTTTTCAGCCCTGTTTGGGTCATTCAAGTCAAGGCAGCTCTGCTCAGCTATAGGAGAGGAGCACTGGGCCCATAAGCATTATGAGAGAGTGCCATTCACCCAGCGTTTCTTCTCTTTCAAAGACTAATTAGTCTCTCCTCCCAACACCCTCTGTGATATACACCCGCATCTTCATTCCACAGACACGGCAGCGGAAGCAGAGAGATTAATTGGCTTGTGTGGAGCCCGACACAGGTTAATAATCATGTTAGAACTCCAGGTTTCCTGGCAGAATTCTCTGCTCAGACCAATGGATTTCACTTATGTATGTTAACATGCACCCATGTGGCATATTGCGCCTCGGTATCATGATATGCGATGCGATTGGCTGACGCAGAGAAAACTAGTGATCTTCTGAGCCAATCAGCACGCAGCCTTTTGATCATGGGCCAGAGAGTAACTCTAACATATTTGCATCTGTCAAAGGGCTGTCATTGTAGTTCACTTGTTCTCTAACTCTGCAAAGGGATGTCTGTGAGCATCAGTGTCTTTCACTGGAAATGAATATTTGGGGCTCGCTCCAGCCGGAGGTGACGCTCTGTCACGTAACCAGTGACGTAGTCTCTTGGAGGCTGTTTTCACTGACGGCTGTCAAGATGCACCCAGAGTGTGGATGATCGTTTGTGTCCCAGCTTAAAATAAGAGCTGCTTGCTGAATTGTGGGTGAAGCAAATAAACAGACACGTAAGAACGGCCAGACTGGGTCAGGCCAATGGTCCATCCAGCCCAGTATCCTGTCTGCCAACAGTGGCCAATACCAGATGCCCCAGAGGGAGCGAGAGGAAGAACACAACATGTGATCCCTCCCCTGTTACCCACCTGCAGACAAACAGAGGCTAGGGACACTATTCCTACCCATCCTGGCTAATAGCCATTGATGGACCTAACCTCCATGAATCTATCTAGCTCTTTTTTGAACCCTGTTAAAGTCCTAGCCTTCACCACATCCTGTGGCAAGGAGTTCCACAAGTTGACACTGCAGTGAGTGAAGAAAAACTTCCTTTTGTTTATTTTAAACTTGCTGCCTATTAATTTCATTTGGTGACCCCCAGTTCTTATATTGTGGGAATCAGTAAATAACTTTTATTCTTGTTTACACCATCCTGGTTTCCCTTAATCCTGCTACTGAACTTGGCCCTCTTCACTCAAAGATCTCCATGTGCTTTACAGATGCTGGCTTGTCCACTCTCACTCCCACCCTCTTCACCATCCTCTGATGGTCACCCCGCCCTGAGGCAACGTGGGTTGCTGTAGCTGCCGGTAGCATTGGGAGGGGATGAAGAATTCCGTATCCAAATGCCTCGGCAGGAGCATCCCAGGGAAGCAGAAGGGAATCACCCAAGCTGGAATTTGTTGCTTTCCTCTGATGTTAGCCCCCGCCGGACAAGGCAGGCTGATTTGATCCATCTCAGGTGTATCCACGGCACCTCTCACCGTGGTATCTGGGCACCAACCCAGTCATGCAAATATTTTCCTTCTCTGAGCGTGAATCATGGGTGTCTCTAAAAGGGGGAGTTAAAGGAGCCTTCAACACACAGTCCATGGAACTATTTTAACAGCCAGCAGGGAGGCGACCATCTTCCCAGCCTCACCATTCAATCCGTGGAGAAAAGTTTCAGGGCAAGCTTTCTCCCCGTGCCAGCTGAGCTCACCTGGTTGCCAGGAATCACTGGAGCCAAGCAGACACAACCTACCACCCTCTTGTCCATCACATGCATGACTCCCGTTCCCACCGTTGGATAAAACATCAAGTATCTGCACGGACAGGAGCAGAACTACATCGGCTGGTAATGCACAGGAGGAGAACGTAACACTGGCACTTAAGCATTCCCCTTTGAAGATTTCTATCAGGGTTGTAGCTGGAGCATTGGGACAGACCCCCTCCCATGCGTATGCCCCCTTGGATGAGTGGAAACAAAGGTCAATGAGTTAGTGCTGGCCCGTATTTTCTGTTCTAGGAAAGAGCCACATAATGGATTCATATCCCAGCTTTCTAGTCCCGCAGTAACTCAGGAGGGTGATAAACAGAGGCCCCTAACATTAGACACATTCCATTATCAGCGTCAGATTATTTGCATCCAAGAGTTGTAGAAGAGCTGGCCAAGGAGCAGTGGGGTGTGAGAACAGGGATATATGTGGTTTTGCTTGGTAGGTAGGACCAAGAGACAGGCCTAGTGGTTGGAGCAGTTTCAGACCTATGAGCCTGATGTCAATCTGGGGCAAAACAAAGGAATGGCTGATTTAGGACTGGAAAGGCGAAGAGTTAAAGGAGGGTGACAATGAATGTCGGCAGACATGGATTGATGGAAACGAGATGTTGTCAGACTTGAGTTTTGGACTAGATTACAAGTTTTGTTTATAAAAGTAGGAGTGTTGATGCAATAGACTTCAGCTTCTGTAGGGCATTGGACTTGGCACCATGCTTGGACTGAAAAATTAGAACAATCAAATAATTAACATTCTATTTAGCCAAAAAGGCATTTTGGAGTCAAACAGGGGCGCTGGCAGGAAGGCCGGGCACCTGGACAATGTGGGGGACTCCTTGCTCCCAGAAAGGGTGGGACCTGGGGCGGAAGGGGCGGGGCTAGGGCAGCCAGTCCCACGTCAGCATGGCACCTCCCCCACAGACCCTCAAAGCCAGCCGGAGCAGGTGGCGGTGATTCTAACGGGCCCGTTGGTGGGCCTGGAGTTAAATGTTCAGCTTGTAACGGGCAGCCTCTATTTTCCCTAGGTTAATACCACATCGTTTAATCATAACATGGATCATTTTCTTCTAAACTTTTCATGGGACATGAAATACATTTCATAGAAGTGAGACTGCGCAGCTGGGAAATGGACAGAAGCCGAATTTTCCTTGGGGTGTAAAAGCGAGGCAGGCAGGAGCCATCTCAGCTTAATGAAGCGTGTGGCTTTGTTTTGTTCTTTACAGGCCGGCTGCTCTGAATCACATCCTCATCGAGTGGCTGGAGAAAGTTCACGACAATTCTTTGCTGCAGAAGATTTCGAAACTCTGAGTTTCCCCTCGACTTCCTGCTTCATTGGACGCTCTTGCTGCTGGGGCGTGAGGGTGGCTCTGCCAGTTTTGCCCGACGGGGTGCAGCTGCACGCCGGAGGGGCTAGGTTTTGCCTCTGGGGTTTGGTTTTCCAGGTGTCCAGTGGGAAAGTTAGGGTAAGCTGGGCTCCGCTAGCCACATCAAGCTGCATAACGGCCCGCCTTTGTCCTTACATCGCTGTGAGGGATTTTAGCATCTAACTCAGACTCTGGGCAGTTTTCCTGTGTGTGTTGTGATGCAGAGGACACCAGTGTATCCTGGCAAATGCAGAGGCCGGGTCCAAATCTCAAAGCTGCAGGGGGCGGTAAAGCGAGTGTTGTCATAGCCTTAGCATGTAATGGAAGCTGCAAAGAAAAAAAAAATTCCCTGGGTAGCGAGAGACTCAGGGGCAGTGGGTATCATAGCTGGGGGAAGAGATTGTCTTCCCAAACCACCAGGCTGGCCCCGCCCACTCTCTGCCCACAGAACACCTACTGTAGGAGCACTGGGGATGGAGTATTGCTGCCCCCGAGCGCCAGCCCGCTCTGGGGTCGGGGAGTCTGGGGCTGCACACTCTCCTCCCTCCCCATGGAGCAGGGGTGGGCAGCTTGGCACCTGTGGGGGCAGGCCTGGGCAAAAGGGCAGGGCTGGGGGCGGGGCTGAGGGCTTGCTCTACCCTCACCCACTGCCCATGGAGTGACTGAACATTTCAAACGGGGATGCAAGTCCGAGGGGAAGCGTGACTCCCCAAGTGTCGCCTGCATCCACAGCTGACGAGTTATGCAACCAAACGGCCCAGCTAAAGCCCTGTAAATAGTTTGTGGTGGTAACTTTCCTCCTCTAGCAAACGCCTTCCTCAGGGTTTGGTTCCACTTGGCCCCCAAACCAGACCGGCCCGTTTTCTAGCTCACACACCTCTGCAAGAAGCGACAAGGGAGGGAGCTTTTGTCCCCTGAAATCGCCTGAAAGCAGCGAGTCATCTTTGATTTCCGCCATTCAGACTAGAGAGCGGTGATGTCCATTCTGACATAGCCTCCCGCCCAAGCCTTGGCCCCTGGCAAATGCCTAAGCCGCGGAAGGCACAATATGCCCGTGGGCCAGAGCTGGCCTGCCACGCCACTGGATCCTGCCCACG